AGCATCCTAGGATGATTTTCGCTGCTTTCATCTGCGCCGCCTCGAGTTCTTTCACTACCTTCTTATTTCCTTCCCATACTTCTCCGGCGTACTCCAGCGGCGGTACGATTACGCTCTTCAAAACCGTCAGTTTGATGCGTGTATCAAGGTGCCGGTTTGCGAGTATTGGGTGCAGCTTCCCTGCTCGTGCTTTGCCCTTTTCCGCTACCTTGGACATGTGTGCATTCCACGAGCAATCTTTTGCGATCTCTACTCCGAGGTATGTGTAGTGGTCCACTACTGCAATCTCCTCGATCCCCCACTTCCATCTATGTTCTACTGGTTCCTCCCTGCCCTCGTTGCATACCATGACGGCACTCTTCGTAACGTTGGCAGACAATCTCCACTTATCAGTAAACTTCTTCGCCGCGTCAATTTGCAGTTGCAGTCCCTCAGGGGTGTCCGACATACCAACAAAGTCATCCGCAAACAGCATTCCTGACACCGAAGTTTCCGTGTCCCCTACTTTTACTCCCTTCCGGACTGCCTCTACGACTTCCAACAGATCGTTGATGAACACCTGGAACAATGTTGGGGACAGCGTGCAACCTTGTGGGACCCCTTGCTCAATGTCGAAGAATTTAGACAGTTCTCCGTCTAGCATGACCGCGCTTTTCGTACACTCTGTCATCTTCTTCAGCACCCTCCACATTTTCCCCTTGATCCCGTACTTGGACAATTGTTTCCACAGCCCATTTCTCCATACGGTATCGTATGCCTTTTTCACGTCCAGGAAGAAGCAGTACGTCCGCTTGCCCGCCCTCTTTCTACCTTGGATTATTCTCCCTACCGTGAATGCGTGGTCTACGCACCCCCTCTTCTGTCGGAAACCTGCCTGGCCCTCACTAATGCTACGTTTCTTCTCCAATACTCCCACTATCCTATCGTTCAGCAGCTTACAGAACACTTTTCCTACTGTGTTCAACAGTGTGATACCCCTGTAGTTTCCTGGGTCAGTCTTGTCTCCTTTCTTAAACAAGTTCACAACCACTCCTTCCCTCCATCTACTTGGCGCATACTCGTTTTTCCACACCCAGTTGTATAGCAGTACCATCAGCTGGATCATCCCCTTGCCCCCAAACTTCATGAACTCGTTTACTATCCCATCCGCCCCGCTGCTTTGTGGCACTGCAGCTTGTTCACACACGCCTCAACCTCGTCCTCAGTGAACTCCTTTTCTAGTTCTACGTTCCCAACGTCTGCCTTCGATGTCTCTTCTTCTTTCTGGGCCCATGCGTCCACCTCCTTCTTAAACACTTGGTCAAAATCTTCATTCTCCGAAGGCACTCCAAGTCTCTTGTAGTGTCCTGCTAGAACTTCCCTTTTTCCCTTCCCACTGCTGACTAGTCCACCGTTCACACCTCGCAATGTTGCTACCCCTGTATCCCCCCCTTGCGCGGTCTTTTTTACCATCCCACTAATCCCTTCCCACATCTGCTTGACGTTCCCCTCCAGGCCTCCGTTGGCCTTCTGCACTACTTCGTCCCAAATGCTCTTTTTCTTCTTTTTCACTAGTCCCTTCACCTGTTTCCTCTTGGCCCTGTACTTTTCCCAACTCTCCTCAGACCCCTCACCCAGGTACTGCTTGAAGACTTCTCTACGTTCCCCTATTTCTTCTTTCAGCTCGTCATCCCACCACTTAACCGATACCCCACATCGTACCACCTTCTTTCCCACTACTCTCTCTGCCGCTGTGTTCACTATGGACTCCCATCCTTCAATCACCCTGTCCCCTGCTGCTTGTACGTCTACCTTTCCGTCTTCGACGCTTCTCAGCAGGTTTCTGAAGGGTTCTACACTACCAGCCAATCCCTTCTGGAATTCATCGCGTGTCCCCTCGTCTCCCAAACGCTCTACTTTCCACCGGAACACTTTCCTCTTTTTCTTACTCTCCGTCTTTCTAGATCGGTCGATGTTTGCCCATATGAGGAAATGGTCGGTCGAACCTATATCTATCGCACTTACGTGCAGCTCCGGGACCTGTGTGCTCCCCCTATCTACCAGGATGTAGTCGAGGATCGAGTATTCATTGCAAACTGCCCTCTGCCTGGTGAACTCTGGCTTATCGCTTTCCCTCCTACCGTTCAACACCATCAGCTCGTTGCTTCCCAAGAATTCAAGCATCCTCACTCCGTTGTCATTCACTTTGTCTTCTCCGTGCTGCCCGATCGCCTGTCCTCTACTGCAAGCTTTCCCTACTCTGGAGTTGAAATCGCCCACCATGACAACTTCTCCCTTCCTACTGAACCTCTGGACATCTTCCCCAATTTTGTCCGAAGTTCTCCTGCGCCTTGCTTGCGACTTTCTTCGACGACGGTGGGACGTATACGTTCCCTAGAAACAAATCTTTCTCACCCCGCTCCCCAGGTATCTTAAGCCATAGGCTTTCCTCGAACTCCGTTTTCATCACTACTTCCACCACGTCATACAAGTGTTCCTTGACCAGGAATCCGACTCCCCCCTCCCCCCTTTTCTTCGGGTCTAAGCCCTTTCTTGCCTTCCCTACCCACCGGTACTTCCCTATTTTGCTTACCACGTCCCCATCCTTCAGTTCCCACGTCTCTTGGGTCCCCACTACATCCAGATCGCTTTGTTCTACTTGGTCCACTATTTCCAACCGCTTGCGCTCACTCCTTGCGAACCCGCACACGTTCCACGACCCCACTCTCAGCTTGTGCTTTTCCCTATTGGAGATTTTGCGCACTCTATCCTTCGCCTTCCGCTTCTTCTCGGCGTTATTCTGATTTGCCTGCTCGTCTCCCCCGCCCGGTCTCTTCTTCGCCTCTATCGCCCTCGCCTCCTGTCGCCTTACCTTCTCTGTTCCTATCATGTTCGCGACGCAAACCCTCCATCCAAACTTCCTTTCGTAGTTCGACAGCTTCTCGATGTCAACCCCCAAGCACTCTTGGCTGTCTCCCTTGGTCAATTTCACCCGGAAATGTTCATGCTCTCTGCCTACTTCTCCCCTTGCTAGGCAATGCAGTCCCTCCGTGTCACACCAGTTCTTGAACTCTATCCTCGTCATGTCCCTTGGAATTCCAAACAGCAGCAGCTCCAACCTGTCTCCCTGCCACAGTTTCTGCTTCCATCCTCCCGGCTTCTTCACCATCCTCATGATCTCTACAGCAACTGGACCTCGGCCACTTGTTTTTCGTGTTTTTTCAGGAAGGTATACGGAATACTCGGCCTTCCCAATCCGAGTGTCCGGTGGGGGTTGTGGTTCCTTTCAGTTCTTTTGCCGGCTCACCGACGCTAAATAGCGCCTCCAACATGGGCTCGTAGTCTAGATCCAAGTTCACACCTCCTGGCACAAGTACCCCAGTCTTGTGCCGGGCGTTCTGCTTAGTAAACACCCAGACGTCCCCCGACCACCCAATTTGTCATCTCCGAAGTCCCGCGGTACAGGCTACTTTCCTCCTGGGAGGTCATTTTCACCACAATAAGTTCAGGGACGACTTGCATAGCCTAAGATCCTACTCACACGCCGGGATGGATCGTACAACAACGTCCAGCTTCTCATGTACGCTCCACCATGGGTTGCTACCCCACTTACGCTCCCGAGTAGACCTATCTGCCGAAAGTTTGGCCAACAATTCCTTACTGCTTTGTACTCGCCTCTCTCCAATCGAAAACAATTCATTGTGCGTGCCGCACATCTAGCTCCGCAGTTTTTGCGTGGTTGGTCAGGTCGTTCAGGTGAGTAATAAGCTTTGCTTGGATGGCTCTGTGTTATATTGGTCCACTTCAAGCAACGAGCACCCCCCCCCCCTCCATCGTCCGATCCATTTTGGATCTCACGCCCGAAAATTTTGGGGTGTCTTAACTCTAAATCCTCCACCGCCCAATGGGGGACTTTAGTATATTTTTTTAATGCCGTACCAATAGG